GCGAGCTGTCGAAAGATAAAGCTCATCTCCAGGAGCAGCTGCAGAGCCTGGAAGAGGACTCACAGGCACTGTCTTTGGTAAAATGCGAGCTGGAAAACCAGGTTGGACAACTGAGTAAGGAAAAAGAATCACTTATCAGGGAAGCTGAAAGCCTGCAGGCCAAGCTGAGTGAATTGGAGCAGGAGAAGCAGAACATCGCCAGGGCCTTGGAGTCCACTCTCTTGGAGAAAGGCGAGTTTGTGGGGAGGCTGAGCTCCACACAGGAGGAAGCGCATCAGCTGAGAAGAAGCATTGAGAAACTGAGAGTCCGCATCGAGGCTGATGAGAAGCAGCAGATCCAGGTCACAGAGAAACTGAAAGAAAGCGAACGCGAGAAAGACTCGCTGAAGGATAAAGTTGAGAACCTTGAAAGGGAATTGCAGATGGCAGAGGAAAACCAAGAGCTGGTGATTCTTGATGCCGAGAATGCCAAAGCAGAGGTAGAGACCCTGAAAGTACAAATAGAAGAGATGGCCGGAAGCCTGAAACTTTTAGAATTAGACCTTGTCACGGTGAGATCTGAAAAAGAAAATCTGACGAAGCAACTGCAGGACACACAAGGTCAAGTGTCGGAGCTAGACATGTTGCTCTCATCCTGTAAGAGTCTATTGGAAGAAAAGGAGCAAGCGAAAATACAGGTGGAAGAAGAATCTAAAGCGGCAGTGGTGATGCTTCAGATGCAGTTGAGAGAACTAAATGAGGAAGTGGCAGCCTTGTGTCACGACCAAGACGGCTGGAAGGCCGGAGGACAGAGTCGTGACCCAGCGGTGGAGGAAGTGCATCAGCTGAGGCACAGCATCAAGAAGCTGAAAGTCCACATAGAAGCTGATGAAAAGCAGCAGCTCCATGTTTTAGAACAACTGAAGGAAAGCGAGTGCCGTGCAGATGTGCTGAAGGGTAAAGTTGAGAACCTTGAAAGAGAACTAGAGATATCAGGGAAAAACCAAGAGCACGCGGTTCTCCAGGCTGAGAATTCCAAGGTGGAGGTAGAGAACCTGAAAGCAAAAACCAGAGAGATGGCCCAGAACCTGAGAGATCTGGAATTAGACCTTGTTCATATAAGGTCCGAGAAAGAAAGTCTGACACAAGAATTACAAAAAGAGCAAGAGCGAGTATCTGAACTAGGAATACTAAAGTCTTCCTTTGAAAGTCTTGTGCAAGAAAAAGAGCAAGAACAAGTACGGATGAAAGAAGAATCTAAAATCGCGGTGGAGATGCTTCAAACACAAGTAAAAGAGCTCAGTGAGGAAGTGGCAGCTCTGTATAGTGACCAAGAGACCTGTAAGGCCAAAGAACAGAATCTCAGTAGTCAACTAGGTTATCTTGAACGTGAAAAGACTCAGTTGCTAGAAGGCCTTGATGAGGCCAAAAATGATTATATTATCTTGCAGTCTTCTGTGAATGGCCTCATTCAAGAAGTACAAGATGGCAAAGTGAAACTAGAGAGGAAGGAAGAAGAAATCAGCAGACTGAAACATCAAATCCAGGACCAGGAGCAGCTCCT